TTTTTTTTTTTTTTTGCAGTTTTTGGCCGGGGCTGGGTTTGAACCCGCCACCTCCGGCATATGGGGCCAGCGCCCTAATCTTTTGAGCCACAGGTGCCGCCCTCTAGAGGAACATTTTTTAAACATGCTTTCCTCTTGGCACATGATACCTTGATGTTGGAGAAGCTGACTCATGTACGTTTTGGGGGTGGGGATTAAATTTTAAAATAAAAGAATAGGATTTCTCTTCTAGCCAGAATTATGTCCTATGACCTACTTTAGGGGAAAACCAGACTTAGCGGCCAGAACAGCTTGTTATGACACAAGAATTCTAATCATTTCTCAGAGCTTATGCTAAAGAATTCGTGATTGCTTTCACTTCTCCATGGCTCGAATCCTACATCTAAAAAGTGAAATACTAAACTCGCAAATACCCCCAGAATTTGTTGTGTAGCAGATTCAGTGCCTCTCCGGTGTTTCTACAGCAGCTCAGGTCAAAATGATGAACATTTAGGACTGACGTTAAAAGTTGAAGGCTGTCATTGCCGTGCCACCAAATGATTTATTTTCATGAACTTCCTTGTTTGTATCGCAAGAATGACTAATTTTTTCTATTTGTCTTACCCTAGTAAGCTGTTCTCAAACTCCTGAGCTCGGCTCGGCACCTGTAGCTCAAGCGGCTAAGACGCCAGCCACATACACCTAAGGTGGTAGGTTCGAATCCAGCCCGGGCCCACCAAACAATAATAATGGCTGCAACCAAAAAATTGCCAGGCATTGTGGTGGGTGCCTGTAATCCCAGCTACTTGGGAGGCTGAGATAGGAGACTCACTTGAGCCCAGAAGTTGGAGGTTGCTGTGAGCAGTGAAGCCAGGGCACTCTACCCAGGGGCTCAGCTTGAGGCTCTGTCTCAAAAAAACAACAACAACAACAAAAAAAAAAAACTCCTGAGGTCAAGCAATCCACCAGCTTTGGCCTCCCAGAGTGCCCCTTCCTCTACACCCAGCCATCATGTTTTTGACATGCACGAACTGAGCATCAATTTGATTTAGAAAGAACACTTGGGGCTCGGTGCCTATAGCTCAGCCGGCTAAGGCGCCAGCCACATACACCTAGGGTGGCGGGTTCGAATCCCCAGCCCGGACCCACCAAACAACAATGACGGCTGCAACCAAAAAATAGC